ATATGTGCATGCATGTATGTATGCATACATGTATGCTTGTATATATGTGTGCATGATAAATATTCAAGTCTTCAAATGTTAGGAAGCCGGCGCTCTGGGGCCGTTTTTCATATTTATTAAGTCGCGGTTGGCACCATGCTGGAACTAGGCGGTGTATCACTGGTCAAAACAGCTGGAAAAGTTTTCAACTGCAAAACCATGCGATGAATGCATCAGCTGATTAAAAAACTCCGAGAAAAAAGACTGGACTTTGGAAAAGTATCCGAAATAGCAACGAAAATGCATCTCTCAGCTGACATGTCTAGCAGTGAGCGGATGTCAAATTCTTCACTTTCGTCTACCCTCAACCATGGCCTTATTGCTTTTATGAAGCTTAGACCGGATAAGTCCGACTGATCCCACTTACCGCCAGGATGCTGCTTGCTTGTGGTAGCATCGATGTTAAGCATTTCGGCAAGTATCGCGACGGAATCACGTGTGCCGCCACGTCCCGCTGATGACGCGCCTTGCTGCTGCATGGTTGTTGATGATTTGCGACGTGTCAGCATGGCGCCCGACAACGCTGCTGCCTTGCAAGCTGCAACTGTTTCAGTGAATTCACAAGTGGCACGTACTGAAAAATTCTCATATCTGGCGGAGTTAGTAAAGACTAAGGCAGACTGGGGATAAAAGCAAAAGCAGATAGAGTTGCCATTTTCAGGCGCTAAATTCATCGCTCGCAGGTCCGCTGCTGCTAGTGGGCGCATTTACAGGCCAGCTGCAGCTGTACCAGGCTTTCCTCGAGAATTTTCCAGTACAGATTCAAGAAATGCTGCTCGTTTTGCTGGAATTCGGTGGATGTCAAATACCAATTACTGGTACTTGCGAGAAAGTAAACAAGCACCTATGTGGCGTCCGAAGATAGCGCACACAAATCGAAGTGCTGACAGGCGGTACGTGGCTCAAGATCGAAGGGCCTGACATAGCTACGCCTAACGTAGAGGCATCATTAACACATGATATCCAGACCGATTAGTCGGACGGTCCGTGATATGTTTAGCAAGCGACAGAATAAAATTTAAAAAAAAATTTTGTTCTTTTCATTCATTGTTAGCATTTTTATTGGAAAATTGTTCGCTACAAGTAATATTCAGCACTGTGCTGTCCCAACATTTCTTGAAAAGTTTTTTCAAAAAGGCACTGGCCATACAATTCGGCGGCGATGCAGCGATGACGATACGGAAAAAGTATAACAGTGAAACAACTACAACAACAATGACCGCA